TCAAAAAAAAAAAAAAAAAAGTGCTTATTTACGGAAAAATCCTGCGTGTTTTTTTTAAATTTATAAAAATAAAAAAAAATAACGATTTGACAAAACTATTAATTTATAAATTGCTTGTTTTATATTTTAAAAATAAAATATACAATAAATGTTTATTCGTTAAATCTTACATCGACAGCTGGTTCATTCTGTTTAACGTCGATGTCTATGACAATACTATTAAAAACTTGCGTGTGTTTTTTCGTATAGCCTCATAGAAATTAGTAATCTCGTGGGCGCCTTTAATGACTTCATCATGTATCTTTATCATTTATGAGTACTCATATATTTGGAATGAGATATCGTCATAAGCAGCATGTATTAGCAACCTGGAGGATGACGTTAATTAAACGTGTTCATCACGCTAACTAAATAGATGTTTTTCTTCTTTCTAAAGCGTGTTAATGAGAATGACATCGATGTTCAAAGACAACTTTTGGGTAAGTAACGAAACGTAAAACGTTAAAAGATGACCGTTACTCCTCTTTGACTTAATAAGAGTAGGTAAATAGTTAAATCTTACTGTAATTTAATTCAATAATGAATGCTGTCTTTGAAGAGGATCTTGATTTATGCATCACTGACAACTTTTTGAAACAATTTTGTGTTAAAAAAAAAAAAACTTTATTCTTACTGAGGCAGAAAACTTCAGTTTTAAAGGTGAATTTGATGTATTTAAGTTATTTCTAGTGAATTTAAATGATAAAGTTTTCTTTTATCATTTTATCTATTTTTATACAGTTGACCCCCTATAACACTGTTGATTATTCTGTTTTATATGAATTCCATGTTGTACGAGTCACTTAGATTTTACAAATACGTGAGTCGTTCACAGCCCGGCACACGTATTTATAAAATCTAAGTGACTCGAACAACATGGAATTCATGTAAAACAGAAAAATCAAGTGTTATATGGGGTCGACTGTATAGGCTAATTGTTGTATGAAGACAATTTTTCATTAAATATTTTTAATTTCTGAAATTTTAAGATTTCTGTAAAATATAACAACATATTGAAATAACTTATCAGTTTTATGTATTATTATTTTACATAATTATTATCTAAAATAGTTATTTTGAAAAAGAAAAACAGCAAATTGTAATATGAGTATGTAACTGTACTTTAGTTATAATCACCGAATTTCTTAAGAAGTAGGGGGCCCAAGTGAGGATTGTTTTTCAGTATGTAATAAATCATTTTTAGTTTTGGATTGTTTTAAACAGGAAAAAAAAAATGCAATCATGAAAGTAATTAAAAAAATTTAATATTTTATATATTTTTAAGTTTTTTTTTTATTTTCACAATTCTTAAATTTATATCAGTATGAATTAAAATTTGATAGAATGTTTGATTCATAGGATATTCTTTCTAAACCATTTAAGAAAGTAGTTTAAATTGATATAACTTGTAAACATATTGAAGGTAGGAAAATTCTTAAAAATGTTTAAATATTAACTTTAGGGCTCTAATATTGCTTTCTATTAATAATGAAAATATATTGTCCGGTAATTGTCGTCATTGTTGTAAATACATATTTGCCAACCTTATAGACGAGGCTGACTTGATAGCTAGTAAATGCTGAGAAATAAAAACTTAGGCTAATTTGTAGAAAGATCGTTGTCAAAACTTGCAGCATTTTTAACCATTTATTTGGTTTTCATCTCTCTATCACAATAATATATTTAAGATGTTGACAATTTTTAAAAAGCAAACATACAAGCAAATTTGGGATTTCTAGTATTGGTTGTAAATCAATGTTTCTGAGGCCAATGCATTAAAGGTGTTATCTCAAAGTGGAGAATTTTTAGCTCAGGATGACAGGCTGACACTGTTTCCAAAGGTAGATTCATAGCTTAAAATACAGAGGGTTGGAAACTATAAACATAGAAATTAGAGAAAGGAAATATATATATGATATGATATGTTGGTTGATATTTTGTCTTTCAGAATATATTAAGTTGTATAAATTAGATGATAGTGCTGTATCTTAAGAATGGAAATTGTTAATCTTGACTAAAAATAGTTGTTTTATAAATTTTGTACTTCTAGAATTTAAAGGAAACATTAATTTTTGCAGTTTTTTAGTTTAATTTTTTTACATTGAATAGGGTTATTTACTTTTAATGAGTAACTTTGAGAATGTTTAACAGTTTAAGACATCTTATAAGTTAGAAGATTGTTTATATTATGGGTCTGATATATGAAATTATACAGAGAACTTGCATAAATGTCATCTCTTGACCAAATCATCATTGCCCCGCCTCCTGTGCCATATTTTTGCTGTGCTGTTCTTGGAGGTGTACTGTACATACATAGTTTGGCTTGCATCTGAATGTTTATCATGTGTAGAAGATGGCAAAATGTGTTTTTACCTGGTTATTTAACAACTCTTACTGCTCAAGACACTACTGGTACAAAAGTAAAATTGTAATGTGTAATGGAGTTGATCTGCACATAGATGACTTGATTTTTGTTCATAGAGGAACATAGTTCATGACTAAAGATAGAATATGGTGACAGCTTATCTTAATAACCCAATTTTTAACTCTTAACTACACAAAAGCATAGAAATCACTTAAAGCTCAATTTTGTAACAAGTGACTGTAACCCAGTGACTGGGTTACAGTCACTTGTTTAAACTGCACTTGAAAAATCTAACTACAAAAATGAATACTTTAATACTTAAGTTTTTTAAATTAATTAATTAAATTAAAGTTTAATACTTAATTAAGTATTAATTTTTCCAATTTTTTTCGTATAGCCTCATAGAAATTAGTAATCTCGTGGGCGCCTTTAATGACTTCATCATGTATCTTTATCATTTATGAGTACTCATATATTTGGAATGAGATATCGTCATAAGCAGCCTGTATTAGCAACCTGGAGGATGACGTTAATTAAACGTGTTCATCACGCTAACTAAATAGATGTTTTTCTTCTTTCTAAAGCGTGTTAATGAGAATGACATCGATGTTCAAAGACAACTTTTGGGTAAGTAACGAAACGTAAAACGTTAAAAGATGACCGTTACTCCTCTTTGACTTAATAAGAGTAGGTAAATAGTTAAATCTTACTGTAATTTAATTCAATAATGAATGCTGTCTTTGAAGAGGATCTTGATTTATGCATCACTGACAACTTTTTGAAACAATTTTGTGTTAAAAAAAAAAAAACTTTATTCTTACTGAGGCAGAAAACTTCAGTTTTAAAGGTGAATTTGATGTATTTAAGTTATTTCTAGTGAATTTAAATGATAAAGTTTTCTTTTATCATTTTATCTATTTTTATACAGTTGACCCCCTATAACACTGTTGATTATTCTGTTTTATATGAATTCCATGTTGTACGAGTCACTTAGATTTTACAAATACGTGAGTCGTTCACAGCCCGGCACACGTATTTATAAAATCTAAGTGACTCGAACAACATGGAATTCATGTAAAACAGAAAAATCAAGTGTTATATGGGGTCGACTGTATAGGCTAATTGTTGTATGAAGACAATTTTTCATTAAATATTTTTAATTTCTGAAATTTTAAGATTTCTGTAAAATATAACAACATATTGAAATAACTTATCAGTTTTATGTATTATTATTTTACATAATTATTATCTAAAATAGTTATTTTGAAAAAGAAAAACAGCAAATTGTAATATGAGTATGTAACTGTACTTTAGTTATAATCACCGAATTTCTTAAGAAGTAGGGGGCCCAAGTGAGGATTGTTTTTCAGTATGTAATAAATCATTTTTAGTTTTGGATTGTTTTAAACAGGAAAAAAAAAATGCAATCATGAAAGTAATTAAAAAAATTTAATATTTTATATATTTTTAAGTTTTTTTTTTATTTTCACAATTCTTAAATTTATATCAGTATGAATTAAAATTTGATAGAATGTTTGATTCATAGGATATTCTTTCTAAACCATTTAAGAAAGTAGTTTAAATTGATATAACTTGTAAACATATTGAAGGTAGGAAAATTCTTAAAAATGTTTAAATATTAACTTTAGGGCTCTAATATTGCTTTCTATTAATAATGAAAATATATTGTCCGGTAATTGTCGTCATTGTTGTAAATACATATTTGCCAACCTTATAGACGAGGCTGACTTGATAGCTAGTAAATGCTGAGAAATAAAAACTTAGGCTAATTTGTAGAAAGATCGTTGTCAAAACTTGCAGCATTTTTAACCATTTATTTGGTTTTCATCTCTCTATCACAATAATATATTTAAGATGTTGACAATTTTTAAAAAGCAAACATACAAGCAAATTTGGGATTTCTAGTATTGGTTGTAAATCAATGTTTCTGAGGCCAATGCATTAAAGGTGTTATCTCAAAGTGGAGAATTTTTAGCTCAGGATGACAGGCTGACACTGTTTCCGAAGGCAGATTCATAGCTTAAAATACAGAAGGTTGGAAACTATAAACATAGAAATTAGAGACAGGAAATATATATATGATATGATATGTTGGTTGATATTTTGTCTTTCAGAATATATTAAGTTGTATAAATTAGATGATAGTGCTGTATCTTAAGAATGGAAATTGTTAATCTTGACTAAAAATAGTTGTTTTATAAATTTTGTACTTCTAGAATTTAAAGGAAACATTAATTTTTGCAGTTTTTTAGTTTAATTTTTTTACATTGAATAGGGTTATTTACTTTTAATGAGTAACTTTGAGAATGTTTAACAGTTTAAGACATCTTATAAGTTAGAAGATTGTTTATATTATGGGTCTGATATATGAAATTATACAGAGAACTTGCATAAATGTCATCTCTTGACCAAATCATCATTGCCCCGCCTCCTGTGCCATATTTTTGCTGTGCTGTTCTTGGAGGTGTACTGTACATACATAGTTTGGCTTGCATCTGAATGTTTATCATGTGTAGAAGATGGCAAAATGTGTTTTTACCTGGTTATTTAACAACTCTTACTGCTCAAGACACTACTGGTACAAAAGTAAAATTGTAATGTGTAATGGAGTTGATCTGCACATAGATGACTTGATTTTTGTTCATAGAGGAACATAGTTCATGACTAAAGATAGAATATGGTGACAGCTTATCTTAATAACCCAATTTTTAACTCTTAACTACACAAAAGCATAGAAATCACTTAAAGCTCAATTTTGTAACAAGTGACTGTAACCCAGTGACTGGGTTACAGTCACTTGTTTAAACTGCACTTGAAAAATCTAACTACAAAAATGAATACTTTAATACTTAAGTTTTTTAAATTAATTAATTAAATTAAAGTTTAATACTTAATTAAGTATTAATTTTTCCAATGATATATTATTATACATTTGTTATCTAACAATTATTTGATATATATCATCTTCAAGATCATCAATAACATTACAATAATCGTTTAGTAGTAAATTTTGTCATTATTTTCCTTTTAAATATTTTACTTTAAGTAACATAATTAGTAAAAACAATTTTTTTAATTTTATTAATTTACTACATATTTTTTTAGTTTTTTGGCGATTTGATTAAAAAAAATCATTAATTTTATACATTTGATTTAATGTAAGATTGTTTAATTTAGTTCTAAAGTCTTGATTTTGCTTTGTACATATTAGTTCTTTAATTTCATATTTTTGATTATATTTGTTTAGTTCTTCACAGTCAGTCCAGTAAATGGTTCAAAGAATAGTCACTTGAATTACACCAATAACATCTGTCTTTAGTAAAATCAAAATAAGTATTATTGATAAACAATGAATATTTATTAAGTCTTAATTGAATTAATAATCTTTTTACATTCATACTGATATTAGCAGTTATGATATTTGAAGTAGATGGGATGTTTAAAATGTTGATGTACCATGGATGGTATACAGAATGATATAATAAATTTTGATCCATTATTATTGAGAAAATGCTGATTCGATCATTAGAGAGTATTCATATTGCCAGTTTGTTTCTGAACTATCAAATAATCTGTTTGATACACCAAAAGATTGTAATAACTTATTGAATTTATATTGCCATAGATTTTTATTGTTATCCGAGTTAAAATTTTGATTTAGAATTATTTGATGTAGTGACGATTTGATTATTTGATGTATCTTCATTAGACTGTTTTAATCTATNATACACCAAAAGATTGTAATAACTTATTGAATTTATATTGCCATAGATTTTTATTGTTATCCGAGTTAAAATTTTGATTTAGCATTATTTGATGTAGTGACGATTTGATTATTTGATGTATCTTCATTAGACTGTTTTAATCTATAATAGAATTTAATCAGTCTCTTTAAATAAAACGGAAATAGTTGGAATCTGTTAGTTTTGGCTCGAATTGCATAACCAGGAACTGTTCTTTCTATTTTATATAATTTTCATAAGTAAATAACATGGAATTTTTCTAAATCGTATAATAAGTCTATTGCTCAAATAGGGCTTGCATAATTATATTGAAGGGATAATCAGAAGGTTAAATAATTTCATCTGTAGTTTTATATTTGTCATTTTTAAAGTTGCACATAAATAAATAACATTATCTATTAAAGTATTAATTTTTGTAGTTAGATTTTTCAAGTACAGTTGAAAGTTACAATTCCAATTGAATGATATTCCTAAATATTTTATTTTATTTACTAAGGTGAGAGATTGATTATTTAAATAATATGATTTTCTTGTTTTGGAAGTTTAACATTACTGTATTTCTAAATATAATTATTTTGGTTTAGAGATATTGATCGCTAAAAACAGGGAATTCAGATAGTTATTATTTATTTAATTATATTTGAATTATCATTAATCTTAGAAAAAATTTCACCATTTTACAGTGCTAACAGAGGTTAAATTCAATTCTTCAGGTATTTTTTACAAGTCAAATATATAAAAAATATATATATATTCTACATCCATTGATGATGTTGCATTGGAATTGTAATATAGATTAAATTATTAATTTGAATATATTTCTGATGGTTTTTTAAAAAAAGTAAAAAAATTATTTAAGTAAAATTTTGAAATATTCTATTAAATAACTTTTAAATAATTAACTAGTCCATTTTTTAAAATCAGTTTCAAATACTATATTTTTAAATTTATTTATCATGTGAAAAATGTTGGTTCATAATTTAGCATATTATTTTTGAGTTATCTGTCTATAACTTAACTATCAATTTTAACTTAATTTTTTCTTATTTTTTTTCATCAAATTAATAATTGTGTTTTTATAAAAAAAGGTAATAAAATTTTAATAAATCAATGTTTTACAATATTCTACTGTAATAATTTATTTGCTGAGAATGTTGCAACTGTGGTGAATAATCATTTAAACTAAGCACTTAATAATTCTTTTCTATTGAAACAGTAAATTTATTTCAGATAATTTTGATTAAATAAATAGAATAGTTATAAAAATAAAAAATTAATTAGTATCTAATTATTAATAGTAGTAAAAAATATCCCGCTTAATTATGGCGATTGTTTGTTTTAGTATTAACACATTGGGTTTTGTGATGTTTATATATTTTATTAACATATATTAACTACTATACTATTTGATATTATTTGATTCTCTTTTCATTTATTGATTATCTTTCATACATTGATCAATAAGTACTAGTACTTGTTGATCGATAGACCTGTTATATAGAAATAAACTTTTAAACTACATATTTGAGTTCATTATAAATTATAAGCAGAAATAACATGGAGATTTAAAATTTCTATAAGGTCATTATTTCCTTTATTTCTAAAATATTGCATACTATAATTATGAAGATATTTATATTTTCTACAACATTGAATCATTAATTATTCTTCTTATGATTAATGAAATATTTTGTTTTTGCTATTGTCTTAAAATTTTTTATAGTAAAATTGAATGTTTCATTTATTTTACATAGCATTTTGCCATTTAATAATTTTTAATATTTGATAGTTTAATGTAGTAAATTTTATGCTTAATTTATTTAATTATTAAAATATTCAAGTTATTCACTAATTATTAATTAA